CTACATAGGTAATTGTTCAATGCAGATTGTGAACTAATTGATTGGTTAAATAAAACAGCATCAACATTATTTACTACCTATAAATACATAGATACTTCAACAAATGATTGACAGATGTAATCAAAGCAAAATATTTTATAAAAAATGTGTATTCACTTACAAGTGTAGAAATGTGGACGAATGATTAGCACCAGTACCCGTGACTGTGTAAGATTAATAAAAACATTTGGTGGTGCACGGCAGCCACTGCACTGGCCGAATGTAATCAGCTGATAAGGACGATGTAAATGCGCACACAACGTACCTACATTCTGAAGCGGCCTGCACACGATCGACGCATGCTTACACATTTAACTGAAATCAATTACATAGCCCAACACAATTTGTGCCTGCCGCGTACCTAGCTGGGCAAGGCGGCAGTCGCGGCCGCTGCCAGCGCGTGCTCCTGGCTTTATCCGTCACCACCACGGCTGCGCCTCGCGATGCACAAAATCGAATACCATTACTTATTCACCATTGCATGTTTATTGTCATGTGCGCCCTACATGCGCAGACATCACAATCATTTCGTCGAGGTAGTATTGGATATAGCAGTACTCACCGTTTCGCTTTCCATTGTCCACAACGCGACGCACAGTGTAAACAACCAAACCACATAATAAAACAAAATGGAAGTCCGACTCGCTCGCACCGAGATGAGAAATTTTATGAGCGCTCTCGAGTTGTAAAACGTCGTTACTAAGTATCCTATCGTAGTATTTTAGCAGCTCCCCTCCAGTTTATTATCTATCGTCACCAGATTAGATGGTTCACGATCACAAAACAATATGAGTTATTGTTCACAAAATACACTTTTAACAAAAACCGAATAGTCAAATGTCGATTTACACTAAAATTAATGTCCACTTGAAAATAATAATCATTGAAGCGTTTGACGTCCCAAGACACAACACCCACATCAAAAAATTCTACATGGCGACTGGCCTGGCCCAGCTTTCAATAATTTCCACTCGAACATATTCCCGTTTCGCTCGTTCACCATTCATTTAATTATTTCTTAATATGAGAAAAAGAGACAGCGATATATAAATATTTCCTAGTATGAATAGAATCGGTGTTGTGAAGTGTCCCTCTCCCCGGCGATGGCCGAGCAGAGTTGAATGGACCCGAGAACCGTTCAACCATTGGATCGATGACGGTCACGTGTCACAAATATGCAGCGCTGTACGTAGCGCGCGAATTTTCAAAGTAGGTAGATAATTCTACTTTGCTATTTTGTACATCCAAAAGTACCGTAATTGATTTATCTTAACTTTAATTTACGAAAGTCTTTCAGAATACATGTTTTAAATAAAATACTTATTTTACAAGTAACGTTAAATGCGCCGAACCTCGGACACCTCGAATTTTTAGTCCACCTAATAGGTACTAAGAGGAATTAATTAAAAAAAATATGTAATTTGATGATATAGATTTTTGTATTAAAGTATATTTATAAGGATTATTATTATGCCACGTTTGAGAAAAATTAAAGTGGAGGACGACCTTTGTGTTTGGCGAGTTTGCGCACGTGATGGCATGGTCTACCTATTGAATAAATAGACAGTGCAAAAGTTTCAATTTTTTTTAAAATGATATTACAAAGACTTGATATTGTGGTCAAACTATTTCTAAATAGGTAGTTTTATTAAGATCAATAATTTACTAAGAAAATAGTTTGTTTGTTGTTTAAATCCATGAAAATTAACAATACCTTAACGTATCTATTCTATGCTCATTTACTAACTTCGGCGTATGAAATGGACGACAGAGTGGAATAAAAGTATTGTCACCACGCCTACAATAATTTTACTTTTCATAATAACTACCGTAAGACATACTAAATTAACTATGTAAAAATCGCGCGACATCGCCGCGACCGCGCTCGCTGCTCATGGGGAATAACCCCTCTGTTCTTCGAAACTAGTAGAGCTTTTCTCAGTTTTTGACGTGAGTAGCCCGCAGTTTTTAGCTAATTATACTTTTCCCGCAGGTGTCGAGACCGAGCAGTCTAAGGCTGCGTCCACATCTGGCAAATGTTCCGCGAATATGCGCAACTCACGACCTGCATTGCATTTAAAACTATGTACGTTCCATGTTCGAATCTTGTAGATATGAGTTGAGCACCAAACCATTGCCGTGAGTTACGGCCCGAGACTGCACGGCGCACGCGCGCAACTCGTGGGGAGCCCGCAAATGGCTCGCATCGGCACATTCGCGGCCAGATGTGGACGCACCCTTAATAAACATGAACCCTTACTTATCTAACTCGCCTGGCAAGCATGGACAATATGACAAACTCTATTACGTACCTACATAGAGTGTAGAGTTCCGTTCCATGATGTGAAGCAAGGAGAACTGAGATGCCGTCTCCGTCTCCTCCTTTTGCGAAGCAGTCATGCTAGCTACGGAGGAGGCGGGGCGCATGAGGCAGCGAAGCGCTGCCTCCTCACAACCCAGCCGTCGCGAAGGACACGCCGGGTGTCGGGGATCGCGGAATGATCTCCGGCCACCGCAAGCACGGGCCTGCGGATGGTGAGCATGGGTAGCTCGCCGTCTGACCAGAACCAGACCCGAGCGTACGACGCGTCGCGTTCCGCCGCGTCTCAATGAGCCATCAGACCACCACGGATCCCCATACGTGGTGGTCCGGAGTCGCGGAGAACCTAACGGGTAACCGGGGCTCCGGCTCGACGTGCAGGAGAAGGAACGGGGTGGTTTTTAGTCAGTAAGAGTCTGACACTCCCTTCCGCCTCACCCAGGCGGGAGCAGTCATTCGATGATTTTCCCCCCTTAAAAAAAAAATATACGTGGTGGTCTGATGGCCAATAGGGCTGATGCCGATATGGAGCCACGGATAACGTAAAAGGTTACCGGGGCTCCGGATCGAATTGCATAAGTAGGAACGGGTGGTTTTTAGTCGGTAAGAGTCTGACACTCCCTCTTCCCTCACCTAGGCGCGAGATGTCATTCGATGACTTTTCACTCTTAAAAAAAAAGGAAACATACAATGCAATGAGTATGTTAAGTTGTACTTGAGTACGAATAGTCGATCAGTGGACACTTGGATAGTCACGTGCTGTTGATACTGATTTGGTTTACCTACCCACTTTATTATTAAACGATTTTATTTAGTTTGTTTGTTTAAATTTACCCCCTTCCTGATGACCAGTGATCGGAAAAAGGTGAGCTAATTTACCTAAATTTCAAGGAACAAAAACAAAAAGTGGAGACTTCCTTACTACAACATTTTTTTCGGGAAAGTTCCGTTCCAGTTTGGGGATATTTATATATTATATTACATTTAATATAATTGTTATTAATACAGAAAACAATTGATTTCGTTTCGTGATTCTATTTCTTAAATTTAACACAAAACCAAACAATATTAAAACTTTAATTGTTTTCAACAATAAATATTTTAAGATGTAAGAAAGAGCATAAAATAAAATTATTCAACACCAAAATTTACAAAAACCTAAAATCGTGACAAAAGTTGCGGTTTCTTTCTAGCTTTTATTATTAATAACATAATTTTGGTGTTGATTATATTAAATGTAATATATAAATATCCCGAAACTGGAACCGGGACTTTCCCAAAAAAAATGTTGTAGTAAGGAAGTCTCCACTTTTTGTTTTTGTTCCTTGAAGTTTAGGTAAATTAGCTCACCTTTTTCCGATCACTGCTGATGACAGATCGATCTGAGGACTTAGTACTTAGACGATTTTGTTTTACATTGAACGAGATCGATAATAAACTCGTACAAGGCCTCTAATATTTGGTACCTACAGACTCTTAATCTTGATGACTGTATTCATACATCTGTTTTTCCAGAACTACCTCCATTTTCGATATTAAACGTAAAGGCTTGATTGGCAGTGATTGGTACTGCCTCTCAAAAGTCATTAAAACCGTTTTACTTAAAAAAGATTTTTTATGTATTCCAAGTCCAGACGTAACCGTCTGACACTCCCTCTTGCCTCACCCAGGCGGGAGCAGCCATTCGATGATTTTCCCCCCTTAAAAAAAAGACTTAAATCCGTTTTACCTAAACATCATAGACATAAAATGGGTATAAGAAAAGAAAAAAAAATATGTATGTAATATTTTTTTATTACCTAACTGAACTGAGTAAATAGGTTGCATATTTGTAGATAATATGGATCAGTTTGTTGGACAAACTGAGATTTATTGTTTCTTCTAAATATAGTTTTATAATTTAAGTGTATTTGAGCCCAAAGCCCACTGGGTTAGGGTAATTTTTCAAGAAACCTTCGCATTTATTAAACATATGAACTTTTTGTCATCAATAGTTTTATTGCTTTGCTTGAGAGGAAGGGCAGTTAAAATTATCAAAATTACATTTGTATTTCAAAACAGCAGAATTGTTAACTTGTGGTTGAGGATAACATGGTTAATTTTTTTTTCAGAATCACTAGCTACTGATTTATTAAAAATAACTTGAATCACGAAAGAATGAACCATTTGAGTAGCAATTGTTATATAGCCTTAAAAGCAGAATCAACAAAAGCATGTAAATAAATAAAACTTAAAATAAAAATACTAATTTTCATTTTAGATACTTTATTGTGTATGAAAATATATCCTACATACTTAAATTAAGTAATGACTATAAAACAAGTCTGTTACAACTGAGATACATTAATAGATGATTGTGCTGTTTTTAGAGATTTATTACTGTATGCAAATTAATTTTTTTTTCACCTACTATACTGTCATAATGGTTGCCATATTTATTAATGCTAATTCATCAAAGTAAATTTACAATAACTTAAAGATAATGTTTGGCTAACAAAATAATTCTTTATCTTACTACCAATTTACTCAATATTACATATTTTTATTTATTAGTTCTAAGCAATACTAAGGCTGGTTGTTACTATACTATGCGGAATATAAAATTAACATATAAATAGAATGTAAGCATTTGATAGAAGAGTTAGATTCCCAGGCCAAACACGGAGACAATGCAGTACATAGTCTTGTTTTCCCAGCGCACAGTGCATGAGCCGTCAGTATTATTGTCCCAGAAACAAGAAGAAGCCGTGTGTAGACCGGCCCCATTCTTCTGCATGATAGTGCATGTCACTGTAAAATAAATTAAAATGTTTATACAGGTAAGCAAGTTTACATAAATGGCGCAGAATTATGCAGCAGTGACAATTTACGTTTCAAACGCGGGTGAACATGTAGGTAGGCTCCTATATTACGTTCAACTTACCTATATACTTATAAGGCTTTTGTAGCTTAGTCAATTGCCCCAAGCAAGATTCCACAACAGCTGATGTCCATTGATTAACTTTATTGTGCTGATAGGCAGTCCCTCCGATTGAATTCTCAATAGCCTCTTTAATAATTTTACTCACATCGTCCACAATGAATTGATTCTGAAACACGTCACATCGATAAAATATGAATCAACTCCAATGCTGCTTAAAAACATCTTGATAATACTTACTTCTTCAGCTAAATCGTTACATTCTTTAACCTCCATGATTTAAAACGAAACGCTATTTGAGTATGAAGATATTTCTGGAAATAGTTTAATTACAAAGACAACAAAATTTTAGATGTTAGTGCTACAGATAGAAACCAAACCAACTAACTTCCAATTAGACAGTGTGTGTTGCCACTTGCAAGAGAAAAAATTTGAACTGCCGTAGTGTCGTGTTTGGTAGAGGATACTGTCGCGTCTTTGAAGAAATATAATTATTTTTAGATCCGAAAAGAAATAGATAATATATGAAAACCAATAGAAACTTAACGAGACATTTATTTATATTTTATTTCACACTGCCCAAAATCATCTTTGTTGTTTGATGTTTCGAAACACTTTTTCAGTAGGAACAAGTGTTGTAAAACTACCGTTTAATACCAAAATGCGCCTTGTAGCGCCGATGCGGTGCAAGGCGCTAATGCGCTATTATACTGATACCTTATCAGAACCTATGCTATTATTAGTGTTTTATTTTTTGATTTACTTATTAACATCCAGACATATTAGTTAAATGAAATATATTTCAGTTCTCGATTGTAGGTCACTTATATTTTAAAATGGCTAATTGTATTTTTTTTAATTCGAACGAACAATATTTTTTGGTGTCGAACAAATTCTTTGGTCAATAATATTACGTTCACAGTGGATGTTATTAATTCCTTTTTATAGTTGCAAATTGCCGTAGATTCTAGTAGACCGTAGATTATACAAAAATATGGTCCTATTTTACTCGCTGCTATACAGCGTGTATTGACATCAATGCTTATATGGCAGTGAATCATGAGTGTAGCAGAAAAAGCATGAGAGCAGGTTTAATGCGAGGGAAATTGAGAGCCCTAAGAAGTATAAGGAGTAAAATTGAGTTATCAAGTGAAAATTTGTGTTATTGGAGAAAGGGGTGGATTGAAAGATGATGTAGTGACAAGGATTGAAAAGGGAATGTTACGCTGGTTTAGACATGTAGAAAGGATGGATGAAAGTAGAGTAACGACAGAATTATACCGAGTGGATATGAATGAAGCTGTCGGTAGAGGAGCATATACTGACCAGAATGGCGATATATTAAGGAAGTACCAAATTTACAATTTAAGTGTAGGAGAGCCATGCTTTGGTACAAATGGGCCGGCTCGACCAGAGTGATACCACGGCCTCACAGAAAACCGACGTGAAGCAACGCTTGCGTTATGTTTCGTCGTGTGAGTGAGGTTACTGGAGGCCCAATTAGCCTCCCCTTCCCCAATCTCCCCAATCCCTGAATCCCCAACGATCCTCAAACTCCTAATACCCAAAAGGCCGATAACGCACTTGTAACATAAAGCCAATCGATGATTTCCCCCCCCCCCCCTTAAAAAAAGACCGACGAGTATGCATGAAAAAACTAAGGACCCTATCCCCATGGAAGATATGCGTGAGGTTATCTATGTATGTATATAATCCTATTTCCGTAGATAACGGCAATTGTAGTAGCAATGGCAACACTACAAATTGACGTCTTTATTAATCATCGAATCGAATGAATGGATTGAATGATTTGAATGTGTATGTTGGCAGCACTATGATAGTATTTTCATTCAACAACAACAACAACTATGGCAACACAGTGGCAGTTGTCAAATAATAACTCCGACCACTCGACTAACTTACCATAGACAAAATATTGCAGAGTGATTGCTGTCAAAACATTGTCTACGATATTAGTTTTTATTGCAACTGGTAACAGTTTCAGAATAAGCTGAATTATCTGTCACTTTTTATTGTCCTTTTTGTAAGGAGAACATGGATATTTTCAATTTCGTAGTTTAATACTAATAATGGCTTCATCGGTGCAAAACAATCGAGTATCATCTCCTGGATATTGTGTGTGTTGTAGAACGTGCAATATGTGGTGTTGGAGAGCTTTTAAATGGCTCCCAGTATTGTTAATAGTGTCTATTATAACTTGGTCTTATTATGCCTACGTTATCCAATTGTGCATTTGTTAGTATTTGAATAAATTGTAAATAAATAACAGATGAATTATGTATAAATTTTTTTAACGTTTACTCAATAATTAATTCTTTTACAGTTACCATTGAGAGTACGGTTCAACAGTGTATCTATTTGGTGTTATATCATATTCTTCTGATTATGTTCGCGTGGTCGTATTGGCGGACTATTTTTGCAGAAATCAAACCAATTCCTGACACGGTGAGCTTAGCTTTCTAATGAATTATTCATCATTCATAGTAGTTTATAAATGGGCGCCACCAAGTTGTTTTGTACATTGGAGAAACCTTTTATTAATATGTTTTGCTGTAGTTTCCTGTCGAAAGTGAGCCAGTGGGGCGAATGAGTCTTTTATAGATACTATTCTTGCACTAAAATTTTGTTTACTGATTGTGTTACTATCCACACATGATTTTTTAATGAATACCAATAAGCAACAGATAAGTCAATTTCAGAGTAGTAAATCACAGTTTATGTTAAAAAATAGTGAATAAAACATAAATATGCGAAGAAAGCATTGATATTCAAACCTTGATGATATTTTCATTGACTTTGATAAACTTAAAACATGTCTATTATTATCAATGTTTTGTATCTGACCTACTTTTCATCAATACAGTTTTAGTTTGATATTTTTGTCCATTCTGAAGTCTGTCTCAAGGTATTAAAAGCTATAATACTCTGAATCATTATGATGAATCATTTTACTAGATAATAAACATTAACAATAATACTTGTTTACAACCAGGTGGTTTTGAAGGATTATTTTAATACTCTTTTACATCAACAATGTGTTGTGGATTCAAAGTCAAGATTCATAAACAGCAGGATCATATAAAACTATGTACCACCAGTTATGTTAAGACTAGTAGTTATGTCCTATGTCAGGGCCGAAATTGCAGCAGAAATTTTGAAGATGAACACCGTCTTTGAATATGAGATCGCTTTTTAACATTTACCACACAATAAGTGGATAATATGCATATTGAAACTGCAAAATACATCCTGATAAACATTCGCAGTTATAATTATATTACAATTAACAACCAATGTACATTTCATTGGTTGTTAACCCCTCGAGCGTCCTTATGAGCACACGGTGGATCATAAGAAAAAATGCTCCATGCTGCTTTCTCTTTTATAAAATCTATTATTAATGTTTTGTTTTTATTTTGATTGTATTTTTTATTTCTATTGTTGTGATCCTTGTTTTTGTGTGCCAATGGCCAAATAAATGCATTTTATTTCTTTCTTTCTCAAAATGTCACGTGTGCAACCGTTGGATCATAAGGAACGCGGACGCTGGACGGGTTAATTGTCACCCTTAGTGCCAAAGTTTCAATCATAGTTAATTCTTAACTGTAGAATAAAATTGGCATTTGATTGTTTTTGGGTACGGAAGATTTGTCAAATATTCAAAGTTATACCTCAGTAAAAATTTATGTGGTGTTGGAAAAATGGACTCTTAGAGAATAAAGATTTGCATGATGTATTTTTACTGATCATCCTAATTCCATTTTGTCTGTTTCAGTTTAAATTACCAGAGGCTGAATTAGAAAAATTATTGAGCGCAGAAACCGAAGATGCGCAGCGGTCTATATTGGATAACTATGCCAAAGACCTCCCCATAGTTACCAGGTAATATGTTAAGTTCAACTTGCTTCTTTACAAAAATGCGTTACTACATAGAGCGCCGAGTTATTCCATTCTCAGTCTCAGCCATTTCCTTTAATACTATATATTGTATCTAATATTTGTATCATAAGAGACCCTTTTTTTGAGGGGCGAAAATCATCCAATGATTTCTCCCGCCTTGGGTTAGGCGAGAGGGCGTGTCAGACTCTTACTGGCTAAAAGCTAAAATCCCTAGGTTTTGGAACTTTGTTTCAGATGTTTACTTTACTATCGGCTTTTACTCGCGACTTCTTCCACGTGGATAGTTTATATAAAGATATATCGATAGATATAAAGCCTTCTGGCAGAGTTTGATTTTTGGACTTATTACTATTATAGCCAAATCTTTACAAGATAACAAACCTGGGATGTTGTTGTTACCGTTCTCGGGGAATTTTCGGGTCTTAAACCATATCTCGGTTTGAGGCTCTAAGAAGGAAGTAGAACAGTTTTTATCCCGAAAATTCCTTTCAAATTAGTTCAGTGGCGTGATAAAACTGACAGACTTCCGCATTTATTGATCGTAGCTTCTAAAATCTGCCTTCCTCGATGAATGGATAGCTATCCAAGAAAAAAAAAGAAATATTCAATTGAAACCTTTACTTCCAGAGATAAGCACTTTAAACATACAAACTCTGGAGTAGACTTAACGAGAGCGTTGGCGCTCTAGTGCGATCTGTAACTCCCCTCACACATCACCTCATACTTAGGAGCGTTATACAGCTGACTTCGTCGTCGTCATCGTTATATACAATGACATCAGTATTATTATTATTTCCTCCTAGAGCGACCCCACCTTATAATCTCAACCCATCCTTCTTTTCCTTCCCATTATTATTATTATTTCATTCTGTTCCTTTTTTCTCAATTCTAGAATTGTAGAATATGTAAGAAAATTAGTGGCGCAAATTGTACCCCCGGAAACAAAAAAAGAGATAATAGAAAATTTTGCCAATACCATACCCGTTTTGACGAGGTTTGTCCATTTTCTTACTGTGTAGCTAGAATTGAGAGAAAAATATCTCTAAATTCTATACGGTCGCAAGTTCAAAGGTCGAACTTGCGACCGTATAGAAAGAGAATTTGTATTATTGTATTTCGGTGGCTATCCTCGTTTCAAGTAAAGTATTATTGCGTTTTTCTTTTCAAAAAATATATATATATATACGGCTACATTCAGGTCAAGATCGATGTAAAAAGTTTGTAAAGTATACGCACGCTTTCATCAATTGACGATTATATGACGAATGCTTCCATCTTGCCTAGGAACAACAATTCGAAACTATGTTACATACGGAACGGCAGCGTTGTGTCATTTACTCTTCACACAATACCGCCTGTCGTTATAATGTAGGCTGCATGAATTCGTCACATACGGCAACACCGCCCGGGAGGTAAAGGCCGCACTTAATTACAATCCCCTGTGTTTCTTTCCTTTTTCTGTCACTCAGAACTGCCTTGTAACAGAGTGAAAAATGGTCATGAGTGACTCGCAGGCGGTGGAATTGATGAAACATTATCGTTATGAATTTACAATTACAATTTACAAACATTTTACATCAATCTTTGTCAGAGTATAGCCTTAAATGTATCTATGTGATCTGTATACACGCGAAACACATGACATACAAGTTAAATGTATAAATTGTTTCCAGAACGATGTCCGGATCGGTTCGCTACTGCAACCGGTGCGTACTGATCAAGCCGGATCGCGCGCACCACTGCAGTATATGCGCCCGCTGCGTGCTCAAGATGGACCACCACTGCCCGTGGGTCAACAACTGCGTCTGTTTCTTCAACTACAAGTTTTTCATGCTCTTCCTCGGCTATGCTCTCTTTTACTGTATATTCATCATGGCCACGTGTCTACCTTACTTCATTAAGTTCTGGAAGGTACATTTCACTGTTTTTTTATTATTTTTTGTTTGTGTGTCAATTCTGTCTGCCAGTATTGTAACTTACAGCTCTATGTTATGGAACTTTATTTGCAAGTAATCCTTTTTTTCTTCTGAGAATGTAACTCTCACTAAAACTGTTTGCTATGAATAGATTGAAGTTGTTTGATGTGTAACTGCACTTATAGGGAAGCAGTGGTACAAAGTGAATGTAATCAATACTTTATTAACATAATAAGTAACGACACTGACAATTTCCAGATGTATGAGGAATACAAGTATGCCCACTGCGACCGTTTGATTCAGAAAGGCTCTGTTTCTAAAATATGCATGGAAATGATTAACGTAATTGTTTATTTTCTCATTAATTATGCCTGTTTACTTTGAGGCGATCAATAGGTTAATTGTTGCTACATAGATTAGATTTTGTTGTTATATTGCTTAGTACAACGCTCAGTGCTTGATATCTTGAGTTCATTTCTTATCTCATTGTAAGTTAAATCGTTATCTTCCGCGTTGCTCGACAAGTCACTGTTTATTATTAGAATGTTAATGTTTAGCGGTGTGTCGAATTCTATAAAGTAATAAACATATAACACCATTTAACCCCTGGTATGCCGGAACGTAGATATACGCGGGACACAATGTGTTTTCTATTGTGTCTCACATTCCGACAGATAATAGGTTAATAGGACTTAATATACGGATATAATAGACCTTGCATTAAGCTATTTAAATACTAAACTTGTCTGGCAATAGTGTCCAGCATAACTACATTAAACATTCTGTAGTTATGATTCAATACTAATAATACACAATGATTAGTTTTAGTCACTATCTAAGCATGTATTTTCACGTAGCTAGGTGAAATCATCATTTTACCTTGGCATTAATCTGATAAATTTTATGATAACAGCGTATCACGGTCGGTTCAAATCCAATGTTATGCCTTGTAGAAATATTTTTTATGTAATATGACCAATGTTCCACATTGTTTAAATGTTTAATTCGGTTGCGCAGTGGGATGTATATTATATTATATTTAATAATATATACGTTTAAACAGTGTGGAATATAGCGGTTCTTAGTTGATATTTTTTTTATTTTAGCACTCGATTGTGATATCTTAGCATTTGATATTGCTATAGCTAATTTCAGTGAATCATTTTGATAGCATTTTATCTTTAGTTTCGTAGCCTAGTACTTAGTCACGCTATCTTTTAAATATTATTATTATTGTAATATAAATGGTTTGTAGATAAAAACTATTCGTTGGTATTTTGTCTATAGTATAACGTTTCTAGGAGGATATTGTAGATAATATCCTTCTAAGAATTTTACACGCTTTTCCTTGTGTCTTTTATTGTTTGTGCTGTACGTCATTTTATTATTATGTTATTCCGCTTTCTTGGTTTCATTTTCTATTGCATCGTCTAATATAAAGTCTCTTAGGGTCGGCACGCACGGTCGGCATGGTACGGCAAATTGTGATATGCCGTGGCATTCTGCTGTAAGCCCAGCTGCTCTGCCATGACCACTGCACAAGTTGCAACCTTATTTCCACTAGCTTAGCATAATTCTTACGTATCACTGGGTACAATGGCCTGCCCCGACAACCAGTGGGATGAAACGTCACAATCAAAATATATTAACATGAACACTACATTCTTTGAAATTAGATTCAAAATAACTTGATTAGTAATAAACTCCTTTGCCATACCATACCATGCCGTGCCGGTAGTGAGTGCCTCCCTTTATACATTGTTATGAAAAAGTCATACATACAGACAGGGTGTTTATAATGATTTACAAATTCCGAAGTATACAAGATGTAACAGAATAAATTCATTCTTTTTAAAAAAAAAATTAAGTTATATTATTTTATAGTGTTTCATACGCATCAATTGTACTTGTATAACGAAGTTATGAAAAGAACCGACCAATCACAATCAATTTCTCTTAATAATATTTTGTATACATTTTATAAACACCCAGTGTCATGTTTTCTTATGTTTTATAATGTATTTGTTTCAACAAATTAACGAAGTTCATCACTCTACTTTTCAGGATTATTTTTCAAAGACCTTCAATTCTAAAACAATGGTGGGTTAAATACTATTTTATCTAGTTAGATTTTATTAATATATGTACAGTATATCGATTGGCCTAATTCTATAAGTACATAATTATTGTAATTATAATTAAGGTATGAAAAAGTAAACAAAACTTTGTAAAAAAATTGACAGGTCTTTGAAAAATACATGCTGTATGTTTGTGATAGTTAAATAAGACGGCAGATAGTTTTTATCTGTCGTTTTATTCAGGGTTGATATTAAAAAGGAAGAAGTTGAATAGTATAATGTTACCAGTTACGTCATGTGTCAGTTGGTTTTCCAGGGCGACTTTGGCGCAGCGGCGAGTGCGGGGCGCTACCACATAGTATTCGCGTTCTTCGTCGCTCTCATGTTTGCCATATCGCTGGGATCACTCTTCGGTTACCATTGTTACCTCGTTATCAATAATAGGACTACTCTAGGTGTGTATTACATGATTTCTCTTTTTATGGGATAAAGGATCACCTGATGGTAAGCAAATTAAGCAATCGACGCCGCCCATGGACACCCGAAACATTCGTAGCATAATGCAAATTGTACCTGGGGTAAAAATGAGAAAAGAACAAAATTGACATACATGTATATGCTATTTATTAACTTATAATGATACTAGATATTACTAAAATTGACAATTTGTTATTACACTAGCTTCTGTCGGCGGTTTCGCCCACATTTCCGTGGAATAAAAATTGTATAGTCCATGTGTTATTCCGAACCATAAACTACCCCTGTTCTAAATTTCATAGCAATGTCTTCAGCCGTTTTGATGAGATTGAGTAACAAACATACGCACAAACAAATCTTTGCATTAATATAGAATGAAGTGTTAAGCAGTACCGATTATTTTCCAAAAACTACCACCTGTTTCTTGTGAAATTGTTTTATATATGTGTCCAAAGAACAGGCCTTAGAACGAGCTTATTTTATGTTTAAATTAATCGAAATGAGACCGCGTTGGGCGATCTGATTGGTTGGTTTATTGCAGCCGGCCAATCAGAGCGCCGAACGCGGTCTCGTTTCGAAACTTGTACTAAGCCCTCAGTCTATGTTAAATGTTAACCATAAAGTCTGTATAGTACTGTTATTGTATCTTACTAAAGTGACTGCAATTACTATAAGTAATGAAGTGTACAATTTATATATATAGCGTGTTAGATATATTTTCGATACTACCTAACGTTTGACATTAAATTTTTATTGACAAAATGCTTCAGAAAGTTGGAACAAAACCGAATATTTGAGAACAAATTGAAAGTAATAATAAAATTTGATTTAGTGATTTCTTGTATGGTATTTTGTTGCTATTACGCACATTTCGTGGGTGAAAGTATCGAAAATCCGATTCTTATAGATACACACCGTATAATTGAGTTATAATTGAGAACTAAATAAAAATTTCCTTTCAGATATGCTCGTATCATACCGCCGCTTGGGCAGTCCTACCGGACAGTTAATAAACTCTATGCTTAAGAACTTGGTCCATGGTAATTGCAGTCACTACAAAAATAGAACCTAGTACCTATGACATAGAGTCGTTATTCGTGTAGTGCAGACTGTAGATTTATAGAGTAAAGGTAGTCGGTATCTATAATGGAATTGACTAGTTGAAAATCAATATTGATTTGAAGTATATGCTTTTCTTTATGAAAACGATATTAAACGCACGGTAAAGTTTAGTGTATTTTTGTCACAGACCCACTATGTATAATAAATTCACTGTCAATAACCCTTATATCCATAACAATAATCATTATTTTTATACCAATAAAATAATTATTGCTTTGTCAATTCCAGAGGCGTTTAGGGCGCCTATGTTCCGCGGAGGCGCTGACAAAAACGGCTTCTCTATAGGAGTCTTCAACAACTTCAAAGAAGTCTTCGGGAACAGCCCTAACCTCTGGCTGGTACCAGTGTTCACTAGGTAAAACCTTCTTTTATAAAAAAAATTAAATAAAAATCAATCATGGGGCATCCTGGTTATGGCAACACTAAGGTTACTATGGCAACACAGAACTTTATACAGCATGTTTGGGTAAATAATGACGCACGTGGGTAGGTGTTCTATGCGGATGCTACAAATATATATTGTGTGTTCAGTGTGATCAGTGTGCATGTTACCTTACATGTATGATGAAAAAAGAAGTGAATGACCAATTCTAACACTTGTCCGTGTGTGCAGAATAGTATTGATAATAACATAATAATACTATAGCAATGATGGCACCTTACTAACTAGGCATGAAGGTAGGATATTCACTTTTTCACTATGTAAATATATCTATGTACAATATTACTGTGAAGAAAAATTCATTTCATTATCACCGTATCTTCAAAAATAGTTCTTGTATCTAGGTGGTTTAGTTTCAATTCGTTTAACATCCCGTCAAAAATAATAATAGAATTCGCATTGAATTTAATATTTAAATATTCTAACATAGTTCAGCTTAAAATGTCTGTTTCTGTACGTTTGTTGTTTGATAATAAATGATAAATGCTTGGGTTTTGGAGATTTGTATAATAATGTTCATGTCATCATAACAGCTCGTTGTTTTTGCTACCTTACCTGTCATCTATATTCATATGTATGGCAACCTACTACTTAATATTATGTATTGCCATATATTGTATATATTTTTAATTTATTATGAACTTTAAGTAATTTGACGTGGCGTGCTCGAATATTGACCTTTTTTGAATAATAGTCCCACTTTTACTATTCGATTATTTAGTTCCCACTTTATTTTCCCATATCATATTCTCATGAGACTGTAATGTAGATATTTCCCATTGTAGGCAATAGTTAAGCCAAATATAGTTTACACTTACCGCCACGCATAACGTTCTCCTCTGAAATGGTGATCATTTTGTCAGCCTCGGAGACGGGTGCGAATTCCCCGTCCGTCGCGAACATCAGCTCCAGACATTTACCACGGCCCAGGAAACTCATGGGTACGAATCCATGGGCACTACACGGTCAAGGTCAGACGCCAAGGAAGAACACAATCTAGCCACCTCCAATCACATACCTTGAGGATATTATACCTTAACACAATATAGCAAAAGCGATATTTCCGTGACAATAGTTACGTACGGTACACGATCAAATAATACACCTATGATATTGGTTTTAAGGCTTCAATTCGTTTTCACGTTGTATCCGTCCGTCCCAAGATATTTATGCTCACATTAAAAACGACGTGAGCTCTGCTAATGCAATAAGGTGTATTAAACCTTAACGCCTTAGAATAAGGTCTGAATTATGAATCTTAACTTGCCAATACAAATGTGATCGGCAGCTATTTTTGTAGTATTTTTCTAGTTTTGACCACTTGCATGTTTTTGTCGAGTTCTTAGAGAACAGACAGAATAAATTGTCAGATGTCCAGTCGAATGTGTACATTCTATTTCATATTTTGTCTATACGTAGTAGGATAAATTTATACTATATTAATGCAAGAACAGTGTCTTTTTGGCATGTGTGTGCTCAATATAACTTTATAGATACATTATTAAATTATACACAGTACCAAACTACGAAATAATATACTCAAGTTATGTGGGAGGTTTCAGCTGACATGTGTTTCATATTTTAATTAATAATTACGATTAAAATATAAAGTCTACTGTGCAACATGCAAATTGCTTTTTAATGCATTTATTTCTGAGCTATATACAACACACAAGACTGAGTAAAGTTAGACATGTATTTTGTAAGTATTTTTGTGCACAATAAAATGATTTTTGTTCTTTGATTTTGTTTTTTATTTCACTATGCTACACATTTTGTTTTTTTTTATTTGTTGCTTACTTACTGAACTGTAGAATTATTAGTAAGCAAATCAATACATACGTACAACTTATAATATAAATAACAATTCATTGAGATTTCATACTAATTTTCTGATTTAAAATGTCTGTGTGCTGTATATCTAACTATACATCTTTCTTCAAGTTATTATCTCTCTTTTCTCTTATTCTCTCAGTCTATTGCATGTCTTAGGGTGCTACAAAACGTTTGAATATAGTTACGTCACATCTCCAAATAGTCAAACGCAACTCAATTTTAAGTGGCGTTCTACAAATTCTTTGTAAAATGATAGAGATGCCACGATATTTAAGTAAAACTTAAATTATGCCTTTCGGTATTCTTGCGTTAGGCCTGTATTCTCAAGCGGATATTTCTTCTCAAGTACAGTACAGTTAGAAAGAGATGTACGTATCTGTTTAATATATTTGCGTCCCTTTTTAACTGTACTGTGATCTCCGCTTGAGTATCTATTTAATTATTAAAAAAAAATTGTAACATATTACACAATGATATACATCACTAGCCTGGCAAATAGTCCTATAATACAGATCTTACAGTATTAATCAATTTACAAATAATTACAATACACTTTTTGACTGCACGGTTGGTGCGGTGGCTGGGCAACCGGCTCCCGTGCAACGTGTCGAGGGTTCGATTCCCGCACGGAACAACACTTTGTGTGATCCACAAATTGTTGTTTCGGGTCTGGGTGTCATTGTGTATGTGAACTTGTATGTTTGTAAACGCACCCACGACACAGGAGAAAACCCTAATGTGGGGCAAAAAAAATCTTATAATACGAGTTTGTTGTGTTTCATATATTAATATTGAAACAAAATGTTTGAAACTAAAGTTATAATACAATTTCTTTACACTAAACGAAAACGTATGTAGCACCCGCGCTTTGTTTTTAATATGCTGTTCTATTCAAAATTATATTCTATTCGGCAATTATATAAAAATAAGCAACGTTTATTAATATTTTAGCACGGAGATGGGCCACGAGACTGAGAGATGGAGATTGTGCCCTAGAAAGGGCAGGACCGTCCCGCAAATAGTATAAGGATACATTTTCCATTTCGCTATATTTTATTACGATTACGATATATATATATAAATAAATCCGTTCGACTAATTAAATTTGCTTTTCATTCATTGGCGTCATCCAACCTTTTTGATAACGATTCCAAATTAATGTCATTCACTTCTTTTTTTTATGAAGGTAGTTAGCATCGTAGGTTATATTGCATGCTACGTACGATTAGGATGCTTTGTCGTAGATGCGGGTGTGCGCAAAATGACAATTGATTTGCGCTTGTATTTATAGATTTCGTAACGCGGTAGAGGTATTTTAAGGGGAGTTATGGCGTTGAGTTTACGAAGTTGTAATGATGATTTATTTTGTATATTGGGCAGTACTGGCTATAGACCTTATAAGGTTTACATATATTTGTTACCCGATTCAAGGATGCTTGTGGTCTGCGTTCACTAATCTATATCCTTACTATATAATATTATAAATCTGAAAGTGAGTTTGTTTGTTTGTTTGTTTGTTCCACCTTCACGCCGTAACTACTCAACCGATTGCTTTGAATTTTTGCAGACGTAAAGTCAGAAGTCTGGATTAAATAATAGGGTACTTTTTATCCCGGAAAAAACGATATTCCTGATTAAAAACAAAAGTGTTGGTATAGATGGCGCTTTGTGTATTGGTATATGTCACATAGGCTACTTTTTATCCTTTTGTGACGCGAGCGAAGCCGCGGGTAAAAGCTAGTACTTAAATAAAAATGAATTTTCATTCGTGTCGCTAAAACCCCAGAACGGCTGAACCGATTTCGCTAATTTTGATCTTGGAAATACCATACCATGTAAATATTTTTAGGGTCCCGTACTTAAAGGGTAAAAACGGGAACCCACTCTGTTTGTCACTAGGACTGTATCTCATGAAAAGTGATAGTTAGATAGTTGGAATTTAGAAAGACATTTAGAAAGTACAAAATAAAATACATATTTAACAGGGTCTCCATACAAAAAAGTCGCTAATGCTGTTTGTTGCCCGAATGATTAAATGAACGAATGGTACGGATACGGTTCGTGCGTGAGTCCGACTAGCAGTTATTAGCCAGTTTTTTTAAATCAAATTCTTTTTTTTTTAATTATTAGTCTCAGAATCTTGACTTAGTAATGGCTTCGTGACAAGGTTTACCCTTAACCCGTTGTGAGCCAGAACGTATATAGATCTACGTGAGAAAGAAAAATAATTTATTCGACAGTTTTCAAGTTACAATGTATTTTCCATTATGTCTTATATATGGCGTTCAAGAAGATAATTGAAGTTTAATATGTAATGAATGGGTAATGATTGGAGTTCCATAGTCTCTGTCTACCCCCATGGGAGACAGGCGTGAGGTTACGTATGAATGGTTGATTGGGACAGAGTAATTTGAACAATATGAAGATAATTGAACTGTGCGTTTTGATATTAATTGTATTTGCAGTTCCATCCCATACCTATATAATTGGAATTTCATTATTATATAAGTCACCTGAAATGGATTATCACAGAGTTTTGTTCGATCGTATAGATTTGATAAACAAAATTGCACATTAGAACGCGCTCCGTGGTTAAAAAAGACTGCCTGCCCTAACAGAATAGATTTTCATTATACTTTTTAAAGACATCGTCATAAACTTATACCCTGCGTCGTAGGAGTAATAATAGTTTTATTTATTTTTACTACTGTCACTAACATTCTCATTTAGAAGCGTAAAGTTGTGATTAATATTAAGCAATAACATCTGCCACATAAGTTTACTACAGATATAAAAAAGACCAAGTTTCTATACCATTTAAGTGTGTGGTCTTAGTACAAGTTCGTTTTACGTTTAAAGTAATAGAAACGAGACCGCATTTGGCATTCTGATTGGTTGGCTTCTTGCAGCCGGCCAATCAGAGCGCCGAACCCGGTTTTGTTTTGATTGAGAAACTCATACTAAACCCTCTGTTCATTTGTCTTCTTATTGATTTTGGTGTCTTGAATGATGTTCAGTCATCACACTTTTGTCTTTCAACTAAGGATTTTTTTTATAAATATGAATTCCTATAATATTTTTCAAGCATATTATGAATTTGATGAAATATGGCTTCAACATCTTCATGACATATTCTTTTAATATCCAGTTACGTCCCTTCGTAGATTCGAATCTTATAGTACCTACCTAATAATGAATTACAAATTATTCGCCAATTTAATATATTAAACGTATATAGGTAATTTATGTTTGAATTGTCAGTTTTATACAACATTCAGTTACATACAATATTGCACTTAATTTTTGTATAAGGAACACTAAATTGCTTACAACCACGGTAGGTAAATACGCTTGCTTCCCACTATTTTTATAAGACCAAATAGCATTCCTTTTTTTTTTAATCAACCACTAACACCAACTGCACGACGTGATTCAATTTGACCAACATAATGAATGAAATCGACGGTGTAGCTTCGGGGACGGCATCGTGTATCCTGTACCAAATGAAGAGGAGGAATCGGAGTCTCTGCTGAGTTCCGAGCGATGGGAGCGATGGGGCGAGAGGGCGCGACCCTTCGATGAACGAGAGAGCTCCTCATTCGATGAACTATGAGTATAGGCTGTTGTAACGACCGCCTAGTGTGCAGGCTTGAGGCAAATATGACCGATGATATCTTTGCCGATAAGACTTTTAACACTTAACACGATTTTGAGTTACATATTACGTACATTACGCAAAGTTTTACTGGGTTTTAAAAAAATCTCAGTAGTAGCACGGAACCCCCCCCCCCCCCCCTTTTCTTTCACACCTTTATCTAACCCTTCGTGGATAAAAGGCGTGATGTTATGTATTACATACATCAGTAGCAAAACTTGCTGAAAGCTTATCGTAGTTAGGTCACTGGATATTACACGTTATTAAGTACATCTAAAGCCTTAAAATCAAAAGTACAATAAGCGGAAATAAGAAATACAATTGCGTTCAAATTATTATAGTTATGAAGACATTTCTGAGAATGTGTAAGACTAGATTTATAGTATTTCCTTATTTATTACGTCGTGTTAAGTGTTTCAGGTCTGTCGAGAGCATTGATAGATTAATATAATTGTTATTGTTTAGGATTGAAAGAGTATTTTTGTTAGGTGAAGCTTTTTCAATATGAAAACTTAATACATTCATTTAACTTAAACTATTTTGTCTTTGTTAGGTGCTCAAATGCGTTAGTTACTTGTGAACATCGGGTATTGCTATCTTATAAGGCACGAGTAGTGTGCCCCGCTAGTACAAAAGCAGCCATATTTATTTATTAATAAATGCCATTATTAACCAGGTCTGCACTCATAGGTCGTTTACAACTCACTAAAAAGGTATGAATAGGTTATGTTATGTGAGGAAATGGTGCTGAATATAATATAGAATGTTATAGACGGAAATAACTTGGTCGTAAGCTTCGCCTTACCAAAAAATATAATAAAAATAATGCTGAATTACATTATAATTACAGTTGGAAGCAAAACAACGAAGCCACTGACTTTTTTTTTTCATTTTAAAGAACCATCTATAACTTCAAAAAAAGATTCTTCATACAATAATATGCTCTTATTTTAAAGATAAATAAATTGCCTTTAGTACGACATACGTTAGTAAATAATGAAATACTTATATCAGATCATATTTGATCAAGAATTGAAAAAGACAAAACGCTAGTGGCTCCATTCTTTGCTCCTAATTGTATATCTATGCGATCGGGTAGTTATCTGCATTGTTTTCAGTCTGAAAAAGGAGTAATCCTTTTGATGACAAAATTGAGCTTAATTTGCTTGTAAAATGGAACAATGACATTGTTTTATTATTATTTACATAAAATATCTTTCTTATACATTCACTTCGTTGACGATGACGTCGTATCTCAAGTTTTGCATTCCTTTAATATAATTAATTTACTTGCCAATATGATTATTTTGTCTTTTGTCCATTTTTGATTTTGTTGAACAAATGCAGACGACTACCCAGTTGTAAAATTCAAAGTGTATATAGAACATTTATTTAGTTTGAGACTGTCATGGATCACACCATCTCAATGGTCAGCGTTTTATTGTAAATGCTAATAGGTTTAAATAATTACATAGTGTAATTGAATTCTTGGGTGATTTCGAACGAAACGTTCTATTAATACGACTGGTTGGTTTCTATAACTTATCGATTTGTGCACTTGCTTGCTATGGATAGAATTTCGACAAGATTTGTATGGAGCTTAACTTGTATACCGGAACACAGGTCTACGCGAGACAATGTGTTTTCTATTGTCTCATATACATATAAGAGGTGAATCACTTGAATATCGTACGTAAATCCACAACATTCGTTCATACAAAAGTAGTCTCTAAACGTCGATAATAAGCTCTAAAATTGAGGAACTGGAGAGTGGTCACCGGTGACCGCATAGGGACTCGGCAGTATCAAATTTCTAACTACAGATTATTGAAACTGGCCCTAAATGTATTTTAAGCACACGCATCGTAATGCAATTAGTTAAACTAAGTACTTAGGCAAAACCCACGAATTAAATTACGCCATGTAAATATTATATATAATAATTTTATTTTGGGAAATATTTCTCATTTGGTACTTAATATTATTAAAATTTATGTTAATTTTATACTATTATGCTCCATTTGAAATAACAATTATATATATGTACCTATATTATACAAAAATCTTATTTACTACTTTGTCAACCGATTTCTACTTTTGTTGCGTTCGAGATAAAGTATATATTTTGTTTCGGTAAATTGGAATTAGCATTGATTCTTATTAACTGGTCTCCCTAAAGAATTATAAATGGGTTTGACATAACTTGTCGAATGCCAGTGTCGACCCCGTACATTTATTTTTTTAATTATGCATTCGATCGACTAGCGAAGTTGAATCCCATATTTTGTCTAGAATATATTATTTAAAGACTACATTATCTTCAAACCTTTCTAGTTTCTACCTTCACTAAATAAACTCTCATAGATTTTAAATTAAAAAGTAGAACTCATATTTCCGTCCGTTCTTCAATGTTAAATTCTCGAAGAAAGCATGGGTTCCATATTATAGTTCTGCTCAAATATCATCTTTATGTCTACGGCATAGTTATCAAAATCGCTTGTACCTAAATCTAATTTTTATTTCAATGGAGCATGATTCATGAATCTCTAGGTAAATGAGATTTTTTATTAGTTAGGTAGTTCATTTTTTGTAACTGTTATGGAGTCCAGATTGATAGCACGTGAGGCTGATGTTCAAGACTAGAAGTCGCTAGTAGCCCATACGGCAAAGATCGGTGGCTAAGTCCGTCTCGTACAATTATCAATTTTGAACTTGTATTAACAAAAAGATAAGGTTGCAAATCTATTAAAGATTGACTTGCGACTGTTTTGTCGGGACTCGCGATAGTCGGTCTAGGTTAGTTCATAAATGAAAGTTGCATAAGTAGTAGTTTTAATTTTGTATATTATTTTTAAAACGAATTTTAACTGACTTCAAAGTCGAAGTAGAAGTAAGAAGCGTTCAGTTTGTTATATTTTTTCTTAGTAATTAATTAGCTTTCTATTTAATATTTATCAACAACTCCCTAAATCTTATTCTTTACTTAACAAAATGATAATTTACGTTTTCCATTTTATATATTCTATGAAACTTTTATAATGAGGAAGTATATCTTGACGGTACATAATATTATGTGCAGTGTAAATAGCGCTTTTAATGCAGGGACGAAATAAAACATATTTTTTCATTATTATTACTTTATTAATTAATATACATAATATAAATGCGAAAGAGTGTGTCTGTCTCTTTATTTGTTCGTCTTTCACGGCAAAACGGAGCTGCGAATTGACGTTATTATTCAAGTAAAGATAGTTGAAAGGATGGAAAGTGACATGGGCTACGTTTTGTGTCTTTTAACCCCCCTACTTCCCTAATTAGGGGCACATTCCGCAATTTTCAAGGTAGAACGTTAAAAATTGGTATGTGGACTAATTGTGACTGATAAGTGCATATTTTTTTATATCAGCTTTCAACCCCTTAACTCGTCGAGTACCAGTTTTATAGACACAATTAAAGAACAATAGGTCGCGGTCACCGGTGACCGCTTGGTGTTTGACAGTTTAAAGAGCATGCTAAGCCGCGAGCAGTTCTAGAGAGCTAATCTACTTACAATTTAATCAGATTATGAAATCTCAACTTTATGTGATGATACAAATCTATTATGTGTACAGAGCGATGTGTTATTAGAGCACGATCTCGTATGGGGTTATAGAACCGATCATTTCCGACATTATTGTCGAATAAAAGGATGATGAATAGTTATTAACATATTAAACTTTTAGCGTTAATTTCACAATGATCCGCGCGATAACTTTAAAACTGAATAAATAAAAAAGTATTGCTCTTGACGTAATTTTCTTTTCTAAATTATCTTACTTTATTAGTTTATTTGCTTGTTCTTATCATAAAGTAAACAATAAATGGTAATTTTAGACATAGTTATTCACAAATTCCCGGAACATTAGAAAGTGGGTTACCTACTTGTTATTTTAGTTGTTATGTCGGAATTGTAATTTATTTTTTAAAGACATTTATATTTTTTTTACTTATTTATCCAAAACTATGAAATATTGATACTACGTACCTATTATTTTAATGTAAGTACTCACATGCAGATTAGCGTTATATAATAACCTGAATTTTGTTGTTGTAAATTAAATTTATGGATTTGATATGGTCTCACATTTTTCAATTGGTCTCAAAGCAACAAAAATGTGACAGTAATGTAGTTTATATTTTTATTAAAATTAACCTTTTATTATGAGCTACTTTTGAAATAGATGTTATTCAAAGTTTATTTAGTTATGTGTTAAAATTTTCAGTAAGAGGAATCAAGAGTGTTTCTATTTATGTGGTACGTATAACAGGTTTTATATATTGCAAAATGAATGAAAGGTTTTGTGAATTGCGAAGATTGTATAATCTAAGAACGATCCAAACGATTGAATATCATATAAAACATATACCTACTTGATTTCATTTGTTTTTTACCTGACTGTAGGAAGTATTGTTTTTTTAGAGTATAAACGTAGTAACATTATTATCGACAATCGACATGCGACAGTCTGTCAATCATTGTAATTTATCATAAATCATGATACTCCCAAAAAAATACTAAAATCTTCATCGAAATAGAATACTAGTCATATTTTTTTACATGATAAGTTATCAGTTATCACAGGTGCATTTATTGTACAATTATATTGCTATATTTGTAGTATAGTCAGGATTATTACAAAATTAATTCGGATATTTTTTTAAATGTTAGTCGAAGCTTAAAATTATATTAGTAATGTAAATAAGTAGATAAATTCAAAGTATTATTGAAGTGTCTACGTGACGAGATGTGCAATGGTTTTGTAATTTAAGTACAATTATTATGTAATAAAGTGAACAAAATATTTATGGCTCTTTTTATTTGTTAATCCCTGGTACCGCTACCCATTGGAGATATCAAACTGCGGCTAGGAAAAAGTGAATTAAATAAACAGAGGATCTGGCGACAGATTGTTGCAATG